TGACCCTCCATCATGATGTCCTTCTCCAGCTTCTGGTCCCTCCTGACAATATACATAAAATGGTGGTGGTGGTTATGTGCTGTGGACTCACTTCTGGCTCGCATAGACCCTGCATAGGGTTTCTGAGGCTGTAAACCTTTATGGGAGTAGAAAGTCTCATCTTTTAAACCACAACTGAAAACATACAAATAGAAGACAAAATGGATGACTGAGACCTTCTAAAATTGAGACACTTAGATGTATCAAAGGATTTCAACAAAAGAGCATAAAGAGGATTCATAGACTGGGAAAAATGTTTGGCAATGGCATATCAGACAAAGAAGTGCTCTCCAAATAAAAGTACTCAAAAAACTCTTCAATGCCTCAACTTGAAGACAAATAATTCAATTTAAAAATGGGCAGAGGACATGAACATACACTTCAACAAAGATGACCTTCAGGCGGCCAACAAACATATGAAGAAATGCTTATGATCATTAGCTATTAGAGAAATGCAAATCAAAACAACAATGAGATATAATTTTACTCAAGCATTAATAGCAAAGTTCGAAAAATAGAGACTGAGACCCTCTTACACTGCTGAAGGGACTGTAAAATTGTGCAATCACTGTGGAGAACACTATTTCATTTTCTTAAAAAGTTGGAAAAAGAAATACCAAATAGCACACCAATGCTCTTTCTTAGTATACATCCTCAAGAAACAAGAGCTGTGACTAGACCAGATACATGCACACCCATGTTCATTGAATAGCGATTCATAGTAGCACAAAGACAGAGACAACCTAAATGCCGTCAACAGAAGAATGGTCAAATAAACTTTGGTACATACACATAAGCAAATAGCATACAACATTGAAGAATAATGTTGTTGTTGTTGTTATGTGCCATCAAGTCGGTTCCGACCCAAAGCGACCCTGTATAGGGTTTCCGAGGGAGGCGTCTGCAATATGGATGAACCTGGAGGACATTATGCTGAGTGACATTAATCAACCACAAAAGGATACAGACTGTATGAAACCACTGTTGTAAAGGAAAGGTTTTCTTGCTAAATGAAACATTCTAAGATAGTTATAGTGCTGGTATGGGTGGGAGAATGAAAAAAATGAAGTGAATAGAGGTTGTTTGTTGTTGTTAAGGGCTGCTGAGTTGGTTCCAAACCATAGTGGCCCTTTATAAGGTTTCCTAGGAGCAGCTGGTGAGCTTTGAACCACCAATTCAGTGGATTAACCCACAGTGTAGACGTAAATATTGTTAAAAATATTTATGACTCCATTTTTGTGTAACATTAAGTTATTAAATGAGAAGATTATATATGACTATTGCACTTGTAGGCTGGAACGTCCTTGAGCCTCATTTATATTATTTTCGTA